CGAACGTCACAGAAAAGACCACCACATCGTAAATATACACAAGTCTGCCACTTCAGTGCTGTGAGGGCAGTGTCCATCATTCACTGGAAAGTGGCCCACGCTGAACACAAACCAAGAGGAAGCCTCCTAAATTGAAACAGGTCAACTGGAGTGACAAAGCCTGCTTTCTCGCGGTCTGGCTCATCGACTTCAATTTGCCAGTACCCACTTTTCAGATCGAGTGAGGCGAAAATAGTGGTAATGACGAAGTCTGTCTAGACGCGTTAAGAGTGGTACTGCTGAGAGAGGTAGTTTTCAATATTCTGGGGCCACTGGTAATATCCGGGTAGCGGTGAATACGCAGAAAACCGCGAAGCCCAAGGCAGTGGTATGGGCATTGGTGGTATACGCGATCACTTATCAGCTTCATCGCAGTGAAAGCATCTGACTTCCGAGTGCATGTGCGTCTATCATCGATGTAGGGAGCTGGCGGCTCCAATAAATGGGTGACAGGAGCGCACGGACAAAGGGCGGTGGCGGATACCTATCAGCGTAGTACGGTATATGCTGCGCGTTTGAAGCGACGTGATAGGAGGAGCTCGAGCGAACGTCGGCGGACAGGCTGCAGATCACTTTAGGACTTCCGGGTATATCGTCTCACGGCGGTATCCAGTAGGAGCTGGCGCAGCGTTATCAGGAGTAAACGGGTCTCGAAGGGTCTTGTGGAGCTCATCTGTTTTAGGCGTCACTCAGTTATTTTGCAACTTCTCACGCTACGTTACTAGCTACAGAGTGGATGAGGCGTCTCAGGCAATCACTTTTAGTTGCGGTTCAGATGAAAATGTCCGCCGAAGACATGCCATTTAGTTGCCTCTCATACCACTTGGATCACAGCTGTAGCAACGTTTCCATCATTACGGCCTCGGACAGGAACTCCACGGCCGCCTTTGGCAGGCTCTGCCCGAGGCTGCAAAGAGCTGCTCTTTGACACCACGCGGTGACGCAACTTCTTGTCTTCCGCCATTCTTGTGGCGGCTCGTCGAAAGAAGCGCGTCATGTCTTCCACGTGCGTGGTCACAGTTTTGTTTGGCAACTGGATGCAGGCCAAAATAGCTAGTTCAGCGATTTTTTTTGACGATCAGTGGTGGCGTAGACATCCACACGTCTACAAAAGAATTCGTGCCATGACGTCAGATGCTCCGCTTGATTCTGATACCACGTACGTACCCCATTCTCGAAGCTAAATTAGACAAGACCCCGTTTTGCCGCCTCGTACAACTTGTTGAAGTTGGCTCGGAATGTACCGACCAGGCTTCAACGTCTTCACGCTCTATTCCTTGGATGCCGCTAAGTATACAATTCGCCGGCTAGTTTTTCGTTCCCTCCTTCAATCGCGTGGATTCTCTTATCAACGCTGCGTCACTTAGAGACTCTTGACTTTTTGAATGATTGTAGGTCGTAAGATTCTAAGAACCCAAGATCGGTGGTCAGGGATCTTGCGTCTAGTTTCTCTGCGCCGAAGCTCGAAGACAACTTGAAAATATTATTACCTGGTTTCCTGCACATCTTTAACCCCTGCTGGACCCCTTCGTAAACCTGAATGACACCACTTTCACCCGAGCGAATGCTCGAACCCTCCGTGCTGGAGAGGACGCAGGTTCACAGGTTGCCAGTGGCGTGTTTAGTGATGCTTTACGCACATTCAATGAAGTGGCTAAACACTACCAGTTGAGTAGGCAGCCATTTCGCCCTCCGCACAGCAAGTGTTCAAGACATCAGGCCAACGCGTTTAGAATGCTGGAAACTGGGTCTTATCTAAGTCTATCTTTCCTCAGTATCATTTCATCAGAGGCTTTGGATTCTGCTAGCCCTGAGTACGGGGAGGTTATAGTAACATTGAACAAATGCTGTGGCAGTTCCCGTCGTTACCAGACGCAATAGGCTCATGAAACAGCATTTGAACACCGCCTTATGAATTTCAGAGTTGCTATTGTCCTTGCACGCTAGTGTCTGAAGCATCTGGGTAAGCCACTCCGCAGAGCGCCGGCCGCACGGTGTGGTTTTAGTTTCAAGTTCAGTTTATTGAGCGTAATTGGGTGGGCGGTTACATAAAGGGAGAGGTATACAGAAAGAGGTCCCTTAGTTTAAACACTGCAATTGGACCTCTTGTTATAACATACACAAAGAAAAAATAAAAACAGAAGAATTAAAACAGTAAAAAACAGTAAAAGGAGCGCCAATATGCGTACAAAATAGTAAAAGGGGCATAATGGTATGCAATAACATGGAGAATATTTGACACTTAAATACACAGAAAAGCGAAAACAAAAACGACGCTAATACAGCGCAAACAAAGCAATCGCAAGGAATAAACACTGATATATACTTCAGAACAAAAAGAAAGTATTAAAATAGATAAAAAAGACATGAAAACGTATGACAGAAAAGCAACGACAGTAACTACACATAAGTCAGAAGTTAAAAGAAGGATTGATGTAAAGTCGAACTGAATGTTTAAAGGCATTTATTGAGGGATTGGCTTTAGTCTCTAAAGGCAGAGTGTTCCATACCTCGATGGCGGAGAAGCTTACTGTTTTTAATCCGTAATTCGTGCGCGCCTTGGGCAATAAGATGATGTTTTGAAAGGAGAAACATATATTACTAGAGGAAGTTGTAAGTGTATTGCCTATAATACAAAAAAGATCCGAATTATGTTAGGCGGTAGGCAATTACAGCTAAGTTAAAGATGATCATATTTGCAATACGAATAACATTTATAGTGAAAAAACTAGTGAATATGAATGGGCATGATGATCACTGTGCGTTATTATGCGGAGCGCCTGTTTTTGAATATGCGCTAGTGGGCTTACGTAGGTTTTGTACGTGAGTCCCCTAGATTCAATACAGTTGTTGAAATGACTATGAAGGAAGGCAAAATAGAGAGCAGATAGTGTAGGAAGTGTAAAAAATTGGCGTCTCTGGGCAGAACACGAATATCATAGGCGGTTTTTCTTTTTATTAACTCAATATAATGGTTGAAGTTCAAAATCAATCAACTTCTACACCGAGAATTTCGCATTTTTAAGATGGAAATATTTCATTGTTATTAGCATAGACCGGGAATGCATCATCTCGCTTTTTTGACCTAGAACTGAAAATACCAAACTTTGTCTTATTGGAAATAATAACAAGCTTGTTGTTAAGGCACCAATAATTGACGCTTCGAAGACCGCTATTTAGCTGGGAGGTTAGGGCAGGAATGGAGTCGTGAGCAATTATTATGGTGGTGTCGTCTGCGTAGAGCAAGGATTCTGTGTGAGGGGATAAAGTCTGTCAGGTCATTTATGTAAAGGAGAAATAGAAGACGACCTTATATTGACACATGTGGGGCCCCTATATTGGTAGTTTTGGAGCCCGACAGTACGCCTGAAATGGATACTTGAGTACGACTCAGTATATAACTAGAAATGAAATCTCGTGGTGGACCAGTGATACTATAGGAAGACAGCTTGTTCAAAAGAATAACATGATCGATATAATGAAAGGCTTGACTGAAGTCAATGAAGACTGATCCAAAGAATTTTGCGTAATAAATTGTGTTTCTGATAATTTCAGTAAGAGCAACTAGTGCTAGATTTATGGAAAGTCCTTGACGAAACCCGAATGGATGGGGCGATGAGAGCTGAAACTTGTCGAGGTAATTTGTAAGGTGGACGGAATATAATTTTTCAACAACCTTACTGAAAAAAGGAATAATAGCTATAGGCCTATAAGTGCTTATGAGTGACTTAACTCCTTTCGTATGAACAAGCACTATCTTGCTTTAGGTTTAGTTCGGAAGGAAAGATAGAGAGCCTAAAGAATAACTTAACGATATGGGCAAACATAGGGGCGATGACATCAACAATGCCCTTCATGTATCCTGCAGATATGTTGTCAAGTCCAGCGCTAGTTGTTTTCAAGCTTAAAATTGTGTTGCTAAGTTACGCTGGCTGGGTTGGAAAAAGATAAAAGATTGCAATGGACGCCGTTTGTCGTTCTAGGTAGCTGGAGGGTGGCTCTGTGCATGTGAGGATTCCTCAATATGCAATTATATTGAACCCCATCACTGTCGGGCGACGATAGTGGTGCCATTGTTGTCAACTTTCAACATCAAAATAAAATTATCAATCTTTTTATGGCACTAAAGCATGCTCATTGCCGCTTACGTGTTGAACTATCATCTATTTTCGCCACAATCAGAAATTTTTTGCAGAGCGATAGACAGTCACTTTATTATTTACTAAAACCCGGAACAGCAATGAGTAGAAAAGATATCAGGTCAAAAGTGCGACACTGAAATAATAAAAAAAGGCTGTTTCATTTCAAGGAGCCCCAATTAGGTGCAAGAAGAGACAAAGCTGTTCAGATGGTCTACGTGTATGAGCATGTTCTTTAACACAGCTTGTTGCTGTGACCCTGAAGTCTCATGGCTTTCTGATATGTCCTACAGCCTCAGCTGAAGATTACATTTTGAGCCTGTCACAACCGTTACAACTTTTCCATCGCAGTCTTCTGCTTTCGCTCCCGAATAAGCACATGAAACGATTCAAAAGTATGACACAAATACGCATATACTGATGCGCATGAACCTTGTTTTAGTTTTCAGCATGACCACTTTGCTTCATCGGGGCTGAACGCGCAAGCGATGTTGCACCACAGCTGACCTATGGTCGATTCCAGCGTAGCACGCAACATCTACGCCGCGGCTATAGATGGCAATACATCATTCAATAGACCTAAAAATGAGCCAGGGTCCACAGATGAAGTTCGCTCAGCTGAGATATTCAGTATATGTCAATTTATCTGACTGAAAAATTTTCGCATAGAATTCAGAGCTATACTGCCAGAGATATTTCAAACGTTCATGATTTTTTAAATATTCGTTAAACCGACGTTTGAAGAAATGAGAGCTCACGGTGTTTCTTAATGTCCCCGTTTGAAGCAAAATTTTCACTTCTTCTTTAGAGATGCCCGGAAGAGAATAGGGGGAATTGGCCCTATATACTTTGCTGAGGTTTGTCCCGGTGAGGTAAGTAATATTTTCACGTTGTTTATTGAGCGTTACACTATGACAGTTTTATGGCAAACACGGGGAACAGTGGTACCTCTGATCAATTTTCGACCTAATTGCCCCCGTCGTTGTGGTGTTCAGTAATATCTACCGAGTATTGCACAAGACTTAGTATTACAGTGTCACTTGGTATAATCGGTTACAAGGAAAAACCATAGTGATATTTAAATAGTCATTGAGTTGTGATATTTACATCAGATGATAGTCTCTTCCCATCACGACATTATTAAAATACCGAACAGCACCAGCAGGTGCACATAATGTTGTGATCTTTACTGACCGTACCCATTCAGGAGGCCACCTGTTAAATTGCGTGTAACGTGTGGTGTAAGTGATAGGTAGGCTGCATATGTTGGTTTTGCTGTAATATGCATTTGATGGGCCCATAGACAAGATGCGGCAAGGTTCTTTAGAGATAATCACGTGAAACCATGTTAAAATATTGACAATAATAAACTAGTCGACTTTAGGAATGCGGGAAGCATTAGATGTCAAAGCTCCTCCATAAACGTGACGATTTAGAAGTATTCTGAGAACAGGAATCATACTGACATAGCCTTATTAAAGCGCAAAATAATCAATTTCTCAACGTTGCCTGCCAGGTTGGGTGCGAGAACTAAAATGAACCAGCAGATATCACTAGCGAAATTTATTTCACTTTTAAAAGTAGACGTTTAGGTGCTCGCTGGGCTTTTTTTGGCGAAGTTTACTTCATATAGTTTCGTAGAGACTTTAGACGAAAATGAGACGGAATAAGAACTAATTGTAAGATTGTATAAACCCAAGGAGTCATTATGGCAAATTTCAAACCCGTACACGGTGAACTTCATCGCTCAAGACTCAAGAATATCTAGGCATTCTACTCATCGGCAGACTCATTGCACAGAAAGACGTCCAGATGCTCTTTGGCTAGCTGGTGCTATACCATATCGACTTGAGGACGGGAGTGCGAGATCGCGGCACATCCTCTGACTGAGAGCAATTAAGTATTACGGAGTGTTTGGTAATATTATGCGCTTTTTAGTATTACGCACTGACAGCGCTAGCACAGGAGAACTTACTTTCACAAAAGGCGATGCAAATTGAATACCTGCGTTCATTCTCGCACGTGCTTGAGCGGCTGGTAATACTATCGTTGTAGTACAATCACTGCAATGACAACGCCTCTGCAACTCAAGCTTCTAGTGCAAGAGCCCCATGAAGAGCGTTTCTGCTAAACTTTGTGAAACTCGACCATTGGCTTGTCACGGAAGGCTCCCTGGGTGACGTCATAAGCCCCTCCGAGCTGTTTTTAACATGTGTGACCCCCCCCCCCCCTAAAATGCAGGGTAAGAGCTGTGACATCAGATTTTGTACTCCCGTGCAACAACTCAGAAGAGGAAGATCCTCCTCTCTATTGAAAAGGTTTCTACTCGCGGACAACTTTGCTTGTCAAGGAAGGGAGTGATATTGGAGAGGAGCATCTGCACATGCATTCGTACGCGAAAGAGCCTGTTTCGGTTGCGTTTCCCACCACTGTAGGAGGTGGTCGGTGTGCGGCATCTGTAGCAGAGCATTTGATTTGTCTGCAGCCATTCGAAGATTCAGTTTGTGACAACGCTATGACAATAGAAGAACCAGATTGAGACGAACGTTCAGCCGCAAACGCAGGCGCCTTTCAGCGCATAAGGTACGCGTGAAAAGCATGACGTTCCAAGAGTTAAAAGACACGATCTGAAGATGTTTTAGCTGAATGATGTGTAATGGACACTTGGCAATATTCAGCAAGGCAGCTTTTCTGTAAAGCTTGTTTTCCATCCAAAAACTCTCGTGCACAGACTGCTTGCCTCGCTCATAGTTTTGAACTCGCGTGCCTTCGCTGGAATTCGGAGAGGTGGCATTTTGTTGTACTCGGGTGCTCACGTGACTTTGCTGGAATTCATAGACGTGAAATCACAATGAGCGAGAAAAGCAGTCTGTGAACGAGAGTTTTTGGTTGGAAAACAAGCCTTAGAGGAAAGCCATCTTGCAGATTATTTCAAACTGATCATTATTTCACACTGGTGAGTGCAGATTATTTCAAACTGGTGAGTGCGGTGTCTTTCGTGAACGAGCCAAAAGAGTTTCTCGTGGAAATTAAAGCAGTTATCTTTTAATTGTTACGTAGGAGGCGTGGGCAAAATCGTGGGACTTCATCCAGTTGGGGCAGCATTCTCGAAGGTCGGCTTCGAAGTCGCGATTTCACGGCCAAGAAAAGTCCGCGAGTGTAGAGCGGCCTTAACGGGGTAAGAAGGGAAAGAGTGTGGTGAAGTGAAGGGCTGGAGAGGGTGGGAGGGACGGAATAATTGACCACGTACCTCCGTGCTTTGACGCGAAGGACGTCGAAAGGCAATAGTACTCTGTTTGAAGGCTCTGCGTGAGGTATGACGCCATTTGGCAGTAACGTAAGAAAAAAACAAAGTTTTGTTAGAACGCATAGCTACTGGTAGGTGGCAACAGTACGTTGTTTTAGTTAAAGTTCATCAGTGTTTTAACGAAGCGTAGGAAACACCCGTTTTTTCGTTCATATCCTAGCATTGTCGGGGTGGCGTAATAAACACTTAATTTCACCATTTGAATTACGTATTCATGCTTTTCAAATAAAAAATTGGCAGATCCCACGTACAGTTGGAATCAATCATATGCGAAGCACGAAGGAGAAATGTTTATATGCCACTTTGAAATCAGCACAATGTTACGAGGTGATGGTAAATGATGCCATACATGACTTCAGTGTCAAGATTATCATGTTTGGATGTGTTGTTTACCTTTGTCATCTATTCACGTCACGTGATACGAAATTTAGTATATGTCAAGCTAGCGAAACGGCCGCGAGCACGCTATGCGCGTGGTACGCTGACACATGTGTCAGAATTTTTCTGTTTGCGCCAGTCATATATTTTGTATCCATTGGCGCCGCGTAACACCAAATTTAGTAAATGTGGAGCTAGCAAAACGGCCGCAAGAGCATATTGAAGGGCCCTATATACTCAAATGTAGCGTTGACGCACGCGCACGCTGGGCACAGCAACGCTACTTTTAGCAAAACGTGAGCACTCCATAGTCTGATGTCAGGCGCGACCAGCGTCCACCGGCGCGGCTCAACGGCACCAAATGTGACATACTGCACGAAATGTGACATACTGCATTTAGTGCCGATGCGTTGCCCAGACAACACTACACTGCGTCTCCCTCTTTACGGGACTGAGGGACGCCGGACGAGCTGAAACACGCATGTGTCAAAGCAACGCAGCGCGGCGCGCTCCTGCGAATATATGGCAGAACCCGCGCCTGGCGTGGCAACGCCAGCGCGACGCGGCTTAATGAACACCGGCGAGCACGCGCACCGCGTCACGTTGAAATGTATTGGTGCCTTGACTGTGGCATGTAGTGACGTTCTCACATGACACGCGTCTCATGATTGCTATATTTGCACTAGTCACATACCTTTGTCATACGTAGGTGGCACGTAATACCAAATTTGACATACGTGAAGCCAGAGATCTGGCCGCGAACGCATCACGAGTGTGACATGTAGTCATGTTACACGACACGCATGTCGTGATTATAATGTTTGGATGCGTCATTTACCTGTCATTCGTTGGCGACACATAATACCGAGTTTAGTACATGTGAAGCAAGCGAAATGGCCGCGAGCGCATCATGAGCGTAGCATGTAGTCATGTTGTTACATGACACGCATGTCATGATAATCATGTTTGCACCAGTCTCATGCCTTCGTTATTCATTGACATCCCGTACCAAATTTGTTATAAGGGAAGCTAGCGAAACGGCCGCCAGCCCATCATGAGCGTGGCATGTAGTAATGTTGTTACATGACACGCATGTCAAGATTTTTATTGTAGGGTCTGTCACTTGTGTTCGCCATGCAACCAAGCCATACCCTACCAGTTTGGCAACATGCCACGTGAACGAAACCACTGAAAGAGCTGCAGGACCATGAACAGGAAATCATGACATTGATGACATATTCTTCATGTTCTGATTAGTCAAGTATATTCTTCTTATAGTCGTAGTATCCCATGCCAGGTTTCGTATCGATACAGTTACCGAAACGGCCAGGCGTGCTAAAGTAGTAGGCAGATAGAGAGATAGATAGATAGATAGATAGATAGGTACGGTCAAAGTCACCGAAGTTTGCTAAGAAATGCTTCGCATTTAAAAGACGCACTGCCTAACAATCACGTATTGATGTTGCCCCTTAATATCCGTAATATTTGCTTTTTACTAGACAATGTTCACAAGTGTGAACGCAGCCACCAGATCAAAATAGGTTGGCTTTGAGCATGGGCTCAAACTTTCTCTGAACGGCTGCATCATTCGAGAGACCCTAACCGGCAGACCAAAATCTTCGCTTGACAATGGTATTTAAATAAAAAAAGGGCCGTGTTAAGTACCGCGCTCTGTGAGCAAAGGAAGGGGGAGCGGACACGGTTCCACTCTTTCAGAAACGAACAGTTACTTTCCAGCCTTAGACGCCGAACAGGTAGCACGTTTGAAGCACCAGCACACACTTGCAGGTTAACACCAGTATACCGCCAGAAGGCCGGCGAAAACTCCATGGTACATTCTACAGCTTTCACGTTGATGGCAACTGCGTTCACTTTCTTTTCATTGTGACAGCAATTATATAGACACTCTTGGTTGGATTGCGCCGCCAACAGCGGCGTGCGCGTCGGCGTTAACGTAGGCGTCAATATAACGCACCGACTATGTGTACGTATCTATATGAAAACGCAAGAAAGAAGAAAAAAATTGCCCGCAGCTTCCCTCGGGGGAACACTGAGGAGGATGCGGAGCATATAATTGGTTAACGGGGTGTTAAAGTGCGACTTACTTGGGTCGATGGCTAAATTGGTTAACGTGGTTGTGAAATGGGGTGTTAAATTGCGACTTACTTGGGTCGATGGCTAAATTGGTTAACGTGGTTGTAGGAGGGGGTGTTAAATGAGTGAACACGTACACACGTATGCGAAAGGGCGGCGCTGGTCGAAGGGACGTCGATCATTGTGTTTGTGGATTCGTTGGAATTCATTTCACCGCGACCTTGGACGTCGACGCGCCGTACAAACCAACCGACGAGCGGCAACTGAGCGAGCGAGCGCCGACCTTGAGTATATATGCAGCGCGACGGCGCATGCACTGTCAGCTGTTGAATGTTCTCGAAGCGCGACGCCACATGCGCGTCCACTGGAGAATCAGGAGAATTGTAGATGTCGAACGCGGTGTGTAGAGGAGGAAGGGTGCACAGATGGTGGAGGAGTGAAGCGCGCGCGGTGTGTAGAGGAGGAAGGGATGCACAGATGGTGGAAGAGTGGGCGACGGCGCGACGGCGCATGCGCGCGCGTCAGCTGTCGAATGTTCGAGAAGCGGTGCGGACGGCGCGGACGGCGCGGACGGCGCACTACAAGGCGCGAGTATAAGATGCTTCCGCATCTAAAATCCACAAAGAAGACTCCGGGGCGCGGAATCGAACGTGGGACCTCAGCGCCATGAACGCTAAGCTTCAACCACTGAGCCACCGACGGGTGCGTCCTTCAGCGTTCCAACGGTAGGCTATTAATATCTACCACTTACAGCTATTGGCGGGCATCTCGAGGTTGGACATCTCGAGGGGGGAGGGAGCTATGTGTTCTCAGCATTATCAGCAAGATGACGCAATGCGCACGCGGCGGCTCTTACCTCTCACACGCACTTCGGCTTGCAGAAAGAAGAGGAGTGAGCGCTCTTTCGCATGCCCTTATCTCCTTGTGCAGAGAATTATACGTCGTGCCTGGCGTTGGGCTTGCACTGGAGCGGTTTTGTTGTAGTTTCGGGGCGCAAACAGATCACTGAAATTGTTGCACAGCTTCAGTTTGCGAAAAGGGTGCGCTCTTCCGACACAACGAAGTCACAACTGAGGCGCTTATTCGCGTTCGCCTGTACTTGTGAGTACGTTTCGAGCGTCATTTGTGTGCAAGAAACGCGGGGCACGTTTTAATCTGCGTGCCATTCTGCGCGTGACTTTCCTATTTGTTGCTATCACGTCAATGCCTTCGCCTTTGTTGCAAAGCTGTGACTTTTTTATTTTGAAGATCGTCGCAATCGTTGCGGAAGCATAAAATTTTATCAGGAAACGGTAGGTTGCTTAAATTGTTTGAATTCCCTTTTTTTCCCTGTTTTTTCCCAACGTAAGCGTTTGGGCACTGCTATAAGCTCACAAGAAACAGAATCGAAAAAGCCATATTTCTAGAACTGGGCACATTATCAACTGCAGTTCCATTTAACACGAAAGTTTTAATGCGAGGATCTACCAAGACTTCAGGGACTCATTTCCGTCAAGAATATCACTTTGAAAAAATTGAAGGTGATAAATGATAAGGAAATCTACGAAAAAGTTAAGCTGCCAGCTGCCAAGAATCGAACCTACAATTTCTCCTCAGTGACAATGGGCGTCCTGTATTTTACCGTCAAAATTTGGAGGCACCTGCGCTAGACTTCACAAAAGCACCTTACATACGTAATGCATTTTCCCTCACACGTCGATCTATGCTAGCGGGGCTAGGTGAGGCTAAGCGAGGCTAGGCGGTGACGCCGTCTGTCCCATTGGGATGTCTCATGTCTGTCCCCATTGCTGGTAACTGGTAGTCTGACAGACCTGCAGCGTCGTTTGAGAGAGATACGAGGTTCGTAACGTAAATTGCTAACAGCAGTCCTATCAAGAATAAAGCCAAGCGTCTTGGCTGGAGAAACCTGAACATATTAAAATAAAACTTCAATGGTTGCTTAACTGTTATTGCAACAATAAAATTTTCTAAGCTATCATAACTGCTAACGAGCAGTACAGTTAGCGATATTCGAACGAGTAGTCATTGAAAATGATACAGCACAAGAAAAATAATGGTATTACCAAAACAGCTGAAACAGACTCTTTATTTGAAAGACTGTACTGCATGCCGTAAACGATCTGCAGGAGAATGTTCGCAGCATTTATGAACAACAATGAGAAGATGGTTGAAGGTTTCGCCCAATACTGTAACGCTCCAGTAATAATTGCCGACAAACACAAGAAAACAGGGCCGATTGTAAAACCGAAGTTAAAACAATAAGCATGGATGAGGTTATAAAGTCCCTAGAGGGCGCGTCCACAGTAAATTGCAGGCTGTAGAAGACAGAGTAGCAACCTCTTTGCTTAAAAATTCATACGTACGAAGTTTCTGTCCGCATAAATATCATGTCTTACAATTTCAATAAATTACAGATGTGAAATAGCGTCATTGTCTTACTTGTACGCGATAACGAAAGACGGGTAATTTTTCCCGTGTTTTGGAAAGCTATAATTTAGACAAATAGTTATAGCGTAGCTGTCTCGTACTATGTTGGAAAACGTTCGTTGTTCTCTTCTTCCTTCATTTTTTTTCAGTGCAACAAATACAGACTGGGAAAAACCTGCTCGCCAGGCTGCATCTGTGGTGTGCTAAACTTAGTTGATCCTCACATATATATGTGCTTTGAGGCAGGCAAACCACTCCCACTGGGATTCACGTTCAGCGAATGATGACACTTCGTGTACATGTGCTCGCTTAGCTACAATTTCTGCGTCATTTCTTCGCACAGCAATGGACTGCAATGGCCTTCCCTGTGATATCGAAGACATAAATTCATAAACTGTTGAAGAACTTTCAGAAATAACATAGCTGCTATTGATCAATATGACGGCCTCTTTCTGTAATCTCGATTGTTAACCGATCTCTTATGCTGGGCACCCCAACAGGGGTCTTTAGTGTAATAAAATAACTGAAGGAAGTGAAATGTGCTAACAGTCCTTGATAAACTGGCTGGTCCTAAACATTGATGTTTAATAGACTGAAATGAAATAGTTTGTTGCTAAGGGTAATGTTCCGTATGAGCGAGAGCTTCAAAAGGTTGTGATTGTCTTCTCTTACGCTAGAATTGAGGTTTGAAATGAGTTCATTATGAACATGGAGGACAGGCAATGTATAACATATACAACAATATACGTTTCAGTAGCTAGTGTATACCATACGATGCCTGTTCATCACGTTTGCCATGCACGCATCTTATGTCATACCTTTCACACTCATCTTGTAAATAAAGCAATCGTGTGAGCCCCGATGCTATAACATATTTGTATGTTCATATGTTAGTTTTGGCACGTAAGACCCCAAATAATAATAATAATAATAATATAATAATAATAATAATAATAATAATAATAATAATAATAATAATAATAATAATAATAATAATAATAATAATAATAATATAATAATAATAATAATAATAATAATAATAATAATAATAATAACAATAATAATAATAATAATAATAATAATAATATTAATAATAATGATAATAATAATAATAATATATCATTGTTATTATAGTAACATATTTATGGTAATTCAATACTTTTCATGTTACAACCTGTCGATAATATTCATCACATAGTCGTGTCCCCCAGACGGATTTTATTCTGTTTATTTGAACGGCCGCGGGTACTCAAGACCCTGCTATGGAAATCATGCTTACATGAAAGGCACTTTGTTATTTTCTTTTTACAAGTAATTTACAATCGTCATAGAGTAGAATAGGGTTGTAATAATGTTGGCTTACATCATGCAGCAAAAGTGACTATGAGCGCTCCTAGACATTGCCAAGTGTCATGCCGTAAGACATGCATGTGATAATTTTAATTCATCTCCTGTTGTTTATGTTCGGAGTAAGCTCATGTCGCATGATTACTATTTTTATACGTATCACGAAGTGACTCCCAGTGTGGTATCACAAGTGGACCCCGATAGCACCATGAGTGAGAAATGTGGGTCATGCCATACATGGCAAGAATTTCACAATTTTTGCGTTACCCCTGGCCATATTGTTCCTAAATATGTCGTCTCACCGCACTTGTTTTGGCATAGGTCAAACTTGCGAAATGGCCAATAATACTTCGTAAGCGCGTCATTCAAATATGCCACAAACAAAATGAATATCATCACATTAATCTTAACACCTGTAAGTTTTGTAGCTCTGAAGAAATGTCGTGCTGTATGAATTTTTTTACGTATCAAGCAAGGCAAGCCGGAAGCAACACACCATGAAATTGATTTGTAGACACTTTTCTATACGTCATGCATCCTAAAAATGTCATGTGAAAGAGCAGTGTTGTTCGCCACATAGTTATATCACGCCATCTAAACTGTGGTGTATAGCAAGCCAGCCAATGGTCTGCTAGCGGATCACGAGCGTTGCTTACAAATCTAGTAGTACACAATATGCATATCACACTTTTCCTATTACTACCTGTAATAAATGTGGTTCATATAATCGTCTCATGCCATATAAATGTTCGTGGATGCGAGCTAGCGAAATGGTTAATAATACATTGTAGCGTGACATGTAAACCACGCTGCACTTCAAATCTCTACATTTATATTCATGTCACCAACTTCTATGTTTCTGCCATATACAGAGATGCCATGGTTCACCAATTAGGTTTTTTTTCAAGCTATCAAAATGACCACAAGGGCACGATAACCATGGTGTGTAAAACACACCACGTATGGAATGCATATGATCATTTGATGTTACAATCTCCATGTTACAATCCCCCAGGCACGTGATACCATATCAAATTTAGCATATATATAATGCCACGAAATTGGCCGCAAGCAAATCAGTAGCATAAGAAGGAAATAATGCTGAACATTACCTTCATGTCCTAATATCATGCAATGACCTGCTGTATATGTTAATCATCCACTCAGCTTACATCATACCAATTTTGGTACTCCTCTATAAGTTCAAGCACATGAGAGCCAAATGTCCACGGATGCTAGAGAAACTACTCTTTTTAAGGCCTTCTGGTTTGTTTCGTCATCTTTCTAATCTCTCTATTAGCTAAATACTGTCAATTGTGCTCGATCTCACACAGACGTATGACCGCGTTGCGACCCGGTTACAAGCGAAGACGCCTTTTTTCAAAGTGTTTAAAGTTTCAAAGATGGCAGTTCTCAGGGTTTTCATTTCATCAAACACAATTCATTGTGTTTACTATGAGTCCCTCAGTTCCAACATACTCTCTGCTTGAGCAATTAGTCATAATGGTGATTTCACAACAAACTTACCGTAGTCATTGTTATTACATGTAACATTTTGTCTTTGCAGCAATGCAGGATCAGAAAACGGCTTCCTTGCTCGAGTGCTCGTACAGTAGTCCGTAATCTTGTATAAGTTAGTAAACAAAGCATGTCAACTGAAACTTTTGCTGCTGTATATCTAAACAGCTTATTTGGTTTTACAACAAAAGAATATCTTATGCCACCACGACAAAACCAACAAAGGTACAACTTAACTAAATGGTATAAATGCATACAACCGCATCGCTATCTTCTTGCGGTTCATAAAAAAACATAAATTTGCAGGTAAGTTGTGTGGCGCTTAGAGATAATATCTTTGTTTCCCAGTACTAATTTTTGTTGTCTGTCTCAGTATTCTGACGCCGATTGTGTAACCATCTCTCGCTTATTACTATCATGGCATGAGCCGTTTTTATTTGTTGTCCCTGAAACTTGAGGCTTCATGTAGGCTTGTGGACAAACGTACACTTCAGTGAATATCTCCCCAGTGAACCAAAACATGGTCCATCATTTCGTCGTCGTACCCACAGTATGTGCATTGTTGTTCTTGTTTACTAAACCTCGCTTTGTAGCTAAACGTTCCAAGGGAACCCGTACTTACTGCCATCAAAAAATTATCTCTTCCTTAAATTATCATAGAATACCGCCCCCTCATTTACTTTTTGCTCTTTGGGTAATTACTCAGAGCCTGTTGTTTCTTTTTGGCTTCACTGCCACCCAGGAAATCTTTCATTTCGTCCCACATTTCACTTAAAGGGCGTTCTTACCATATCGTCTACCCTGGCACCGTATTTCTTATATTCCTTATACCAATATCCTATTTGTTTCTTTGCGTATACCTTAATGCCGTGTGCGCCGACATGCACCATTCATGAATGATGATGACCGAAGCATGCTTCCTCGGGCATCTTCTTAAAGCATGCATTCCCGAGCACCTCCTCGTTGCTGCTTGGGAGTGCCGTTCATGAAATCGGTGTCCTGCAAGGGTCGATCGAAGCTAAAATGATTCGTGACGTCACGAATCACGGCAATTCCAAGGTCCAGACTGTCGTATTCAACCCTAGTCGACACTTTGTACAGCGACGACGCCAATGCAGGTGACAAGGAATTACTGAATGTGTGCGTCTAGCAGACGAATCGTTCGCAGATCAGCCTGAAATCACTCGTTTTTGGGGAGAAGTGTTCAGCTCGAATCAGCTATTAGCCCCGAGAATGAACACTGGCGTCGCTGCAGCAGCGGCGAAGTGAGGTACAGAGAGTGATATGCACGATACCGGAGGTACCAGTGCGTGATAGCAACCTGCGAAGAGCGGTTGTCAACGCAAACCAAGAGATATGGCGGATGAGTCGAGGGAAAGGTTTTGAGGTGGTGGAAATAAACAGAGAGGTGCATAGGTGAGGTGGTTTTCAACGAGGCAGAATTCACTTCGATGGACGGCTACGTCATGAGGTGGGCTGGCAGCTTGCAGGAGCAGCTTGCAGGACGCGCACTAGCTTTTTTGGGGGGCAAGCGGGCCCTTCGAGGTGCAGGATAGCTAGCAACGAGGAAAACAACCAGGGAGACACTTGGACAGGTGGTATGGACAGATACGATTCCAAAGTGGCACCAGTATCTAAGATAGGTAGAGTCCGGGGCAGAAATAGACGTAGCCACGAGCGCGGAGCCAATTCAGACATAGGGTATATTAACATGCAGGGTGGTAGGAACAGGCTGAAGTGGAAAGAGATAGAAGAACAGCTAAGAGAAGAGAGGCCGATGGTATAGGGTTTTCTAGAAACACATCTCAGGGACATGGAACAACCTCCAAACAATCCGGACTACGCGTGGAAATATTGTATTAGAACAGAAGGCAGCAGAAAGGGGGGTGGTATTGGGGCATTCATTCACAAAAGTACAGACTGGCAAAGGGTCCAGCAGGAGTGCAAGAAACATTTATGGCTAAAAGGGAAAGTGGCAGGTCAAATGACACTCCTTGGTTTCGTGTACTTGTGGACGGGAGCAAAAGCCAGAGAGGAGAACCAGGCAATGGTAGAGTGTTTATCAAAGGACATTCAGGAGTTAGGAAGAGAGTGCGAGATAATTATACTAGGAGATGTGAATGTGCACATAGAAGGTAGAGATGGGTATACCGACCCGACAGGCAAAATGATCATGGATATGTGTGAAAGGCTTGATTTGATCATTTGCAACAGTACCGAGAAGTATGAAGGGCGAACAACATGGGAGGTAGGAAGGCTGCAGTCGACGATAGATTATGCACTGATGTCACTTAGGATGTATGATAAGCTCAGGGGAATGCACATAGATGAAGGTGGCTCCTGAAGTTTGGATAGTGATCACAAACGTATCAAGCTAAATTTTAGAAAAGCAGTGAAAGTGGGAAGGAGACAAGATGAGCAACTACAGGAAAATTTTTATCCAGAAAGACAAATTGAAATAGCCACTAAACAAATTGAGAAAGTAATTACGAAGTATAATAAAACAGTGTGGACACACGCGAATCTGATTAGACTGTTTCAGATAGCGCTTGCTAAGGCACGTGACATGTCACCCCAGAAAAGAAGACACAAACCCAAACGTTGGTGGGATGAGCAAGTTAAGAGAGCCATAACAAAACGTCAGGAAGCCTTTAGGGAACACAGAC